GGCTGCATCAAAAAAACTATTTAGAAATGATTTTTCTTTTTTGGTCAGTCGATCATCTTGTGATCCATACAGAAAATCATAACCGTGCTTCCACATATGTATGGATGGAAATTTCCTTATGTCTGGATGGAGTTTGAACTTTCTTCTTAGAGGGTGTTTCCTGTTCACCTAATCCCAGATGCAAGTTGGCAAGAGACAAGGCTGGGGCACCCCAGAGTGTGTGTTAGAATTGAATTGTAGATTGCAAAGTGCATGAGCCAAACCCAAATGAGCTACAAATCAGACACAAGCAATGACATGCAACAGTGGATTGAGACAGCATTTATCACGAGCTCCGATATTTTCAGTGATTGGTTTGTCAATCTGTCTACTCAACGAGTGTGCTGGTTTTCAACTTCAGGGCAGGACCAGATTGTGAGCTCAAAGTGACAATATGGGCCTATGGAATCTTTAACATCCACCTGAACAGGCAGACGGAAGCTCGATTGATCGTCTCATCTGAAGGAGTATACCTCCAACAATGTAATGCACACCCAGCACTGTGTTGAGTGTCAGTCTAGATAGACTATGTGAGTTCAAAGTCCTAATCTCAGTTTTGAACCCGCAATATTCTGACCCCAGAGGCAGGAATGATATCATCTAGGCCAGGCCAACGTAAAAGCTTATTGGAAAGAATGCAGTGAATGAAGGGAGATTCCTTGCTGCTGTTTACTTCCATCATTCTGCTTCACTGCTGACTGTGGGACATTACAGTGTGTGAAGTGAATCCCGTTAAATGCTGTGAAAAGTCTCGCACTGTGAAAGGCACTACAGCAACAACAACAGCTTGCCTTTATATCACCCATCACGCAGGGTAACACCTTGACTCCTAGCCAGGGGGGGAGCAACCTGAAGATGGGGAAGGAGAAGGCAAAGTGGAGGGATGGATTATATTATCACTATTTCAAATGTAAGGATTATTATTATTTTTATATTATTATTCAACAACAACTTGCACTCATATAGTGTCTTCCACTCAGGGCAGTGTCTCAGAGCGCTTAACAGTGGCGGAGCCTGACTCCGAGCCGGGGTGGGGGGAGAAGTGGCTGTAAGCATGGTCGAAAAAGAAAGTTTTCAGGTGAGACTTGATAGTGGGGAGAGAGGGGGCAAGGCAGAGGGATTGAGGGAGAGTGTTCCAGAGTTTTGGGGTGTAGTGGCTGAAAGCGCGACCTCCGATTGTGGGGCAAAGGGTGCGAGGGACGAGCAGGAGCCAGTGCCAGTCGAGTGGAGGACCACGTGGTGGATTGGAATGAAGCCAAGGAGTATGGCTTCTTCTTGTCCACATTCAGCTGCTGGACGTTTGCACTCATCCAGGCCCTGATGTCTGCCAGACAAGCTGATAGAACATCAGGGACCTGGAGTAGACGCTGGAGGAGACAAAGTAGATTTGTGTGTCATCCGCAAACATGTGGAAGTTTATCCCATGTCTGCAGATGACATCGCCCAGAGAGAGTATATAGATAAAGAAAAGAAGAGGCCAAGGATGGAGCCCTGGGGTATCCGACAGGTGACCGGGTGGGGATGGGAGGAGAAACCATTTGCTGAGATGAAGTGGAGGCGGTTAGTAGGACTCGAACCATGCGAGTGCGGTCCCACTAAGGTGGATGAGGGAGGAGAGCCGATAGAGGAGGATGGCGTGGTCGACTGTGTCGAACGAGGCAGAGAGATCCAGGAGGACGAGGAGGCAGAGGGAGCCCTGGTCACAGATAGAGAGAATGTCGTTTGTGACTTTGACATGCGCTGTCTCTGTGCTGTGGGCAGTCGGAGAAAAAACAGACAGCAGGGGTTTGAGGAGGGAGTAGAGGGAGAGGTGTAACCGTAGTTGACCTGCAAAAATGCTTTCCAGGATTTTGGCAAGAAAGAGTAGGTTGGAGTCCCAGTGTCTTGGCCAACAATCCTCCATATAAATTAGCTATTGGCGGCCGACTGTGGGATTTTGTTGTGCACAAATTGGCAACTGTGACTGCCTAGAAGCACACAGTCACCACACCTGATAGCAATTGCATGTGAAGTCATTTGAGACTTTCTGTCATAGGTGCTATATAAATGCAAAAAGGATAATTATTATTAATATGCGAATCCTCCCAGCAGCAAATCCTTAGGACTAGTTAAGATTAGATTCCCTAACCTTGAATGTTTTGGTTCAAACCGGGAAGTCCTTCACCCGCTGTTCCTGGAAGTAGCGCTCTTGATTCGGTCCTCTAAATCATTCATATCTCTAAGCTTATTCTTTAGAAACTGCTAAGAATGGTCATCCAAAACGCAGGCTAGCAAGCATTAAGATTCGTTCACTGAATCTCTGGTGCGGCTGGTATTTAGATTCAGGCTGTGCTCTAAGGTCCAGCACTCTCAATCATTGCCATTACTAGGCTCTTCTTTAATCTTATTCTTTGAGCAAAATCCTTTCATCAGTCTATTTTACATGCTTTTACCTTGGGGATATCCTATGGATATAAAGTTTATTGCAATAGCAAAGCCCCAAAAAACAAATAACAGCAGGTCAAAAATAAATGCTGGTTAATGCCTGCTGGAGGCACTGGGCTCCTGATCTCACTGGGATCTACAGATTTAAATCAAACGCCAATTGCGAAGCGTTCCTAGACTTCTTCGCCTCAAAAATTGGAAACATCCATTTCTCTGCATCGTACTCCCCAGCCTCCCCCCCCCCCCGCCATGTCCCCTTCCACCCCACCCAGACCATCCACACTGCCTTCTCTTTCCGCCAGGGCTGCTGCCACTCCCCACTCCTTACACTCCTTTGCCCCCATTTTTCCCTCCCTCTCACCCACAATCACCTGGATGAAGTTCACCAACTGCTGCCTCAACTCCCTCCCTACCCAGCTGCTCGTCACTCAACTCCCCCTCCTCTCCCCCTTGCTGGCTGACACGGTCAATCAGTCTCTCTCCTCGGGCTCTGTTCCACTCCCCCCGCCATTCCTAAGGTAGATGCAGGTAGCTGACTCCTTGCGGCCACTCAGTTTGAGCCCAGGCAGTGACTTGACCAATTGATCCATCGAGGGAGTTTTGTGTTCAACTCCTACCCTGCCAGTCACAGCCTGATCAAACACACCTTCCGATGAGCAATAACAACAACTTGCACGTATATAGCGCCCTCCACTCAGGGTAGTGTCTCAGAGTGCTTAACAGTAGCGGAGCCTGACTCCGAGCCGGGGGGAGGTGACCATAAGCAACAACAACAAAATGACATTTATAGAGCGCCTTTCACGTCGGGAGGACGTCCCAAAGCGCTGAAGAGTCAGGTGTCGGGGCCCGAGCATGGGGGAGGGGTGGTGTAGGGTTGAGGGAAGGCAGAGAAGTGGGAGGGAGATCAAAGGCACGGTCGAAGAGAAGGGTCTTGAGACGGCCTGGAAGGAGGCGAGGGAGGAAGCAAAGCGAAGGGACCGTGGGATGGAGTTCCAGAGTGTGGGGACAGAGAGGCTGAAAGCCTGACCACTGATGGTAGGGCAGGTCGGGCGGGAGCCCGCCATGGATGGCCTTGAAAGTGAGGACGAGGATCTTGAACTCGATCCTCTGGGGGATGGGGAACCAGTGGAGTCGGGCGAGGGTTGAAAAGGAAGGTTTTCAGGTGGGACTTGGAAAAGGGGAGAGGGGGCAAGGATTGAGGGAGAGCGTTCCAGAGTTTTGGGGCGTAGTGGCTGAATGCGCAACCTCCAATGGTGGAGCGGAGGGTGCGAGGGACGAGCAGGAGCCGGTGTCAGGTGAGTGGAGGCTCCGGGTGGTGGATTGGGGAGTGAGGAGGTCGGAGGTGCCAGAGAAAGGGATTTGATGGAATGTGAGGAACTTTAAATCGATCCATTCGGTGATGGGGAGCCATGGGGATGTGGGGAAGAAGGGCAGCTGAGGGTCGAACTGGACGCCTAGATTGTGCACTGGTTCGGTGAGTCTGAGGGAGAGGCCAGGGAGGTTGAGGAGTTCAGATCCGCGGAGTGGAGTATGGCTTCCATCTTGTCCACATTCGGCTGCAGAGCAAACACTGTATGTAAAATGTCCCAGTGACAGATCTAGGAATCGTACAGGTGTAGAGTTTGTAGACTACCAATGTCATCTGCAAGGGGACACGTTTCAAAGAGGAAGCTTTCCTTGTCCTGGAAGCAGCTTTGAAAAATCATCAATAGTTGTTTGTCATAAGTTGTTGCTATTTCTGGCTAAAATACACAGAAGCGTGAAGTGGCGAAACTTTGGGCAAGTTTCCTTACTCCACACAGAGCCTAATAATTATCCCTCCAAAAACAAAACAATAATAAATTGGTCATTTTTCAATCCATGACTGTTTGTGGGACATTGCTGTGGCAATTGGCTGCCGCATTCGCCCACAAATATACAGTCAATTCACTTAACAGTATATTCTGTGAAGCGCTTTGAGACATCTAGAAGACGTGAAAAGCGCTATATCAAATGCAAGGATTATTATTATAAGTGGTGTTGCAGGAGGGCTCTTTAATTAGATTTCTATTTCGTTAGAAGTGTGGTGATTAAACAGCCAAACAGTTTCTGTGTTAACGATCATCCTTCACGCTGATGAAGAGAAAACGCAAGCCTAAGTCGCGCAGGGCTCTCAGATGTTAGTTTCAATCAGTATCCAGCAGTGAGATAGATATAGCAGAGGATGGACCTAGAAAAAGGCCACTCAGCCCATCGAGCCAACTCTTGTAGATTAGTGCTTCTCAACAACTGGTTTGAGGACCATGTGATAACCATGTGCCCAATCCACACAGGAAATCTCTTTAAATTGTTAGTCAATTTACTAATGGACGTTGCATATTAAGGAGAACCTGAGCTGTTCCCAGATATCAAATAGGTTGAAAAACGCTGGAAAATGGCATGTCAAACCTGTACTACCGAACGGTCCCTATCACCAACGGGAAAGTACTGCACATAGATGAAATGAACAAAACCTGAAGAGTTTAAATCTGCTAACACTGCGCTCTTCTTTATTTCAGAATAAAGTGTTGAACGTTGACGGCGTGAAGGTCAAACTACAGGTAAGACGAGAACCTTGGAATCTATAATAATACTAATAATATAATAATAATATAATAATAATATTATTATAACCTTGGAATCGGATCTAAAACTCAAACAGTTCAACATATTTCAGTTGTTAGGCTCAGCGTGATGTGCAGAGGTGCTCTGAAGTCAAAGTGCCTCCAATCTCTACTTTAAATGTAGCCACCACAACCAGTATCTCATTTTTCCATGTGGTTTGCAATTTAAAACATGTGTCTGATGCTTCCAACATTTCCCAAGCTTTGCAATCTGTTGCCCTCAATGCTGAATCCCGTCGCTACTGGTTTTACAGAGAGAGATGGCATGAAAAGTCACCTAGAAACTTCATCTGGGTTTTTCTTTTTTGAAAGAGTTCTTGATTTCACTTTCAAAAAAGTAATGTTAAATATTTTAGTATCCATGTTTGTTGTACTGCAATCAGAAGAGCTGCCTTTTCGCTGAGCACTTTACAAACTGCTGGACGAGATGTCTACATTATTCTTTTATACGCTGACATAAATTCTGCTGCTATGTGTTGGCAGTACAAACTGCGTTTTGTGCTTTGCGGAGGTGAGATTACCCCGAGGTTTTACATCGGGTTTAGTGCAGAATTTGCATTTTATAGGCATCAAACTGAGCATATGGAGCAAGTCGGCCAGCTGTGGGCAATCACATGCGCTATCACATCTCGACTTAGATTTTATGGTTGTAAATTAGCCGCCACATTCCCCCTCAAGTACACACTCGACTCACATTCTTACAGTTACCCATGAAGCACTTTCACATGGTTTGCCATTATAGACTGTCCATAGAAGGACTATTATGATGTTAGAGATTGTTGTGGGACAAAATCAATTTATTTTTCTGTAATTTTTATCCTGGAGAGTTAAAATTGTGAAATTTCACATCCATTGAAACAAACAAATGCCCAAAATATTTTGCATTCACTGGCTTCAATCAAACTTCCCGATTTATTTAATTCTCTTTTACGACTGCTTTCTATTCTCCTGCTTTATGAAGCATGACAATCATTGTATCTCGTTAGTGCACTGTTGTTCAGCAGTTCTCCAAACCCTTGGTGCCTAGTTTGCTCATTCTTCCATTTAAATAATATTCTATGATTACGATACCACAGAGGAGCTGAATGTTAACAGCGCAAGCTTCTTTGTGCTCAGTTTCAGATTGCGATTCCTTTGCTGTGCTTGTAGATTTGTGGGGTGCCATAATGTAGTGGCTAGTGAGCACGCATCGCAAGCAAGAGGGTCCAGGTTTGATTCCCGGCTGGGGTGAACCTTAGGCAGGTTTCCTTACTCGACACACTTCTGTTTACCTAGCAGTAAGTAGGAACCTGGTTGTTAGTCGATTGGCAGATTGCTTGCCAGGGGTAATAATCCCTTAAATGTTTTTTTAAAAATTTGGTCACTCAATCTAAGACTGTTTGTGAGACACTGGTGTGCCCAATTGGCTGCTACATTGCGCCTACAAAATACACAGTCAATCCACTTTACAATATATTTTGTGAAGTGCTTTGAGAAGTGATAAGGCCCTATATCAAATGCAAGGATTATTATTATCAGATGCACGCTCCTGTGTGTCTACCAGAAATAGAGCAATCGGATTTGGGAGGAAGGCACAAGAGCGTCAAACCCACGGGCACCAAAGTAATAATAATAATAATAATAATCTTTGCATTTGATATAGCACCTTATCATGTCTTCTAGGCATCATACAGAATATGCTGTAAAGTGAATTGACTGTTTATTTTGTGGGCAAAACGGGGCACAGCAGAGTCCCACAAACAGTTGTGGATTAAGTGACCAAATTATTGTTATTATTTTTATTGAAGGTAAGATACCATGATCTACTATGAATTATTAGTCCCGGAAAAGTGATCCGCCAATCGACTAACAACTGGGTTCCTACTTATTGCTAGGTAAACAGAGGAGTGTGGAGTAAAAAAGCTTGTCCAATGGTTTGCCCTGCCAGGAATCGAACCTGGGTGCTCTTGTGAGGCGAGTGCTCTAACCACTAAGATACAAGACTCCATGAAGTACGAGCAGCTTGCTCGAAGCGTTCAGGTTTTGTGACCTAAAAGCAGCGAAGAATAATTCATACGTTTTGTCATTTCAGATTTGGGACACGGCAGGACAGGAAAGGTTCCGAAGTGTTACTCATGCCTACTATCGAGATGCTCACGGTAAGGCCACCTTGTTGCTGATCTCAGTTCCTCTCATTTTCTGTAACTAGAATTCAGATGGAGATATTATATTGGTGCTAACATGTTATAATAATATAATAATAATCCTTGCATTTAATATAGCGCCTTATCACGTCTTCGAGACGTCTCAAAACACTTCACAGAATATACTGTTAAGGGAATTGACTGTATATTTTGTGGGCGATGAGGTGTAGGATGAATGAATCTTTGCATTTTTGAATTCTCAATTCAGATTTTAATATAATCAAATTTGCTGTTTGATAGTCTAAAATCTGAGGGATCTCAGCTAATCATGTGGGATTGGACACCCTGACATTATACCCAATCTTAGCCTTAATGGGACTATTCTGTCTTACAACTTGAGAATCTGCAGAACTGTGGTCTCCTTGACTTGCTGCTTAAACCATAAGCAAACCAAGGTGCCCATTACAATGCATCTCATGTTCAGGTCCACTTGCAGTTGTTAAGCAAAATGCCCATGTTCTGTTTCCTGACTGGCTGATTTTGGAAGTCTGATGTTCTCCTGTAGTCCTGGAATACTCAGGACAACATTTCACTGTATTGGTGGGTTTGACCTTCTGTTAACCCCTGCATTTATGAGGTTATTGGTAGAGTCCAGGGAACATGCTTGAGCCAGGGGTTAATTAAGGTTTCGCACATGCTCAGTAGGGTGTGAGATAGCTCTCACGCTTGATGTACCTGGGATAAAATAAACATTTTATAACTGCCCCACAGTAAGTGCAGTATCCTATACCAAAGGGTCATTAATGACAGGCCATTCTGTTATTAGGAGCAACGTTATGACCTCCAGCAGCTTCCGTGGCCCAATTTGATCCGCAGATGGCTTGTTTTCCTCTCCATGCATTTGTTTCCTCGTATCCTCGGAGCTGTCTAACTCTCAGTAAATGAGATCCTTGAAACACAGGATAGTTTTCCGAAGCCTAATGGAGTTGAAGAAACAAAATGTCAAAGGCAACCAACCACACAGACTTGATACACTGTCCACCACTCGCTAATTATGCCACACCATGGACTGAGTTGTATTGATTGAACAGAGGCTTTAACAAGAGGCATTGTTTCCATATTGACCTGAATAACAGACCCCTGTCATGTAGCTTGGTATTTTATACCCAATGCTTCAGTGATGAGAGTCGGGGCTTCTTGAGTCAGGAGGACAAAGCGCTTCACAGAATATACTTTAAAGTGTATATTTTGTGGGCGAAATGTGACAGACAATTGCACACAACAGTGTACCACAAAAAATCGTGGATTGAGTGACCAATTTATTATTTTTTGAGGTATTAAGCCTGGAAACGCAAACAGCCAATCAATTAACAATGGGGTTTCTACTTACTGTTAGGTAAATAGAGACGTGTGGAGTAAGGAAACTTGGCTAAGGTTTCGTCGAATATGAAGTTTGAAGACAAAAAAATGGTGTTGTGGACTGAGCATAAGACTAAGTGAAAATTTCATCATATATGTCCAAGTGTGTAGAAAAACAGATCATATTATTCTGTGTGTTACCTTCACTTGCTGACTAATTTCCTGGTAGTGGGTTATATGTAAACAACCCATTGTGCCTACAAAACAGAGCGTGTTCCATTGAAAATAGACAAAAGATTTTAAATATTCCCACCAGAGAGTCTACAGGACCTTTCAACCTTGTCACAAGTTTGTGAACAAATATGACTTGATAGATAATACTCACACAGCAGCTGCTGTTGGTTCTTGTGGCACAAGCAACCTGTTCCTCAGTGTTTTCTTGATAAGCTCAGCCCAGAATACCCAGCACAACATGAGGCGTTTAATTGAGCATCACAGGCACCAAAGGTAGGAAATCGTTCCCCCACAAATATCAGAGAATACTTTCATGAAGCTGTATAGGTAGTTATAGCTGTTATAGCACAGCCCAATGTGGTGTGGCTCTTAAAGTGAATGACCATTTCTTTATCTGGAGGACTTTTGCCTAGGAAACTCTAGGAAATTCCCTTTTCTTTTCAAATGATGCAATGGGATTTCTAACGTTCAGGTAGATGAGATCTTGGTTTAATGTCTCATCTGAAGGAGGTTACCTCTGACAATGCACTTATGAGTTCAAAATCTCGATGTGGGGTGAGAACTCACAAACGTTCTGACCGAGAGGAGAGACTGCTACCTTTAAATCAATTGATCAAAGCAAACATGATAGAAACATTAATACAGATGTTGGACTGTGGTTTGAGAATGAAAGCTTTGCAGCTCCACTTTGGAGCCTGGAGGTTAGTTTGGAGACGGGTCTATTTATGGGAAATATGCGCTAAGGGCTGTTTTGAAGGACAATTTTTGCCCATTGTCTGCTGTCGTTCGAATACTTGATACAGCGGTCTGTGTTATGAGGAGTGAAGGACCGGTTAGCATAATTAAAAAAGAATATGGCTAAAAGATATCAGAATCGAGTGGAGCAAAGTGTATCGATATTAAAGATTAATACATGTTAGCCACAGGGATGTATGTCCAATAACTTAAGAACATAAGAACATAAGAATTAGGAGCAGGAGTAGGCCATTTGGCCCCTTGAGCCTGTGCCCCGCCATTCGATAAGATTATGGCTGATCTTCTGACCTAACTCTAATTACCTGCCCTATCCCCAGATCCCCTAATCCCTCTATTTTTTAAAAAGAACTGAGCATCTACAGCCTTCTGGGGTAGTCAATTACATAAATTCACTGCCCTCTGAGTGAAGAAATGTTTCCTCAACTCTGTTCTAAAAGGCTGACCCTTAATTTCAGACTGTGACCCCTGGTTAAAGATTCTCCCACCGGGGAAACAGTCCCTCAGTGTCTACTTTATCAGCCCTTTAAGAATCTTATATGTTTCAATGAGATCCCCCCTAATTCTTCTGTACTCTAGAGAATACAGCCCTGATTTATTCAGCCTATCCTCATAGGTCAGTCCCCTCATCCCAGGAACTAACCGAGTGAATCTACTCTGCACCCCTCGAGGACAAGTATGTCCTTTTTTAAATAAGACCAAAACTGCACACAATACTCTCGGTGCGGTCTCACCAAAGCCCTATACAGTTGCAGCAAGACTTCCCTACTCTTGCACTCTAAACCTTTTGCAATGAACGCTAACGTGCCGTTTGCCCTCTTAGTTGCTGCTGCACCTGCAAACTAACTTTTTGAGACTGGTGTACGAGGACACCCAAATCCCTCTGAACACTAACACTATCTAATCTCTCCCCCTCTAGAAAATAATCTGTTTTTCTATTTTTTCTACCTTGGTGAATAACTTCACACTTCCCCACATTAAATTCCATCTGCCACCTACTCGCCCACTCCCCTCGCCTATCTATATCCCGTTGCAATCTTTTTGCATCATCCTCAGAGCTTACTCTCCCACCGAGTTTAGTGTCATCCGCAAATTTAGATACGTTACATTCATACGTGGGCCTTAACCTTGTGCAATAGCCTTTTGTGTGGCACTTTGTCAAATGCCTTCTTAAAATCGAAACATACTACATCTACTGGTTCCCCCCTCTCTAACCTGCTGGATACATCTTCAAAAAACTCTAAAAGATTAGTTAAGCATGACTTCCCTTTTGTAAAGCCATGTTGACTCCGCCTAATCTTGTTATGGTCTTCCAGGAATCCCATAACGACATCTTTAATTAAGGACTCAAGAATTTTCCCTCACTGATGTCAGACTAACTGGTCTATAGATCCCCATCTTTTCTCTCCCACCCTTCTTAAATAGTGGTGTTATGTTTGCAATCTTCCAATCAATGGGAACCGTTCCGGAATCCAGAGAATTTTGGAAGATCAAAGACAAGCCATCCACTATCTCAGTAGTCACCTCTTTTAAAACCCCAGGATGTAGGCCATCAGGTCCAGGGGATTTATCAGTTTTAAGACCTGACAATTTACCTAAAACCATTTCTTTACTGATATTAATTCCTCCAAGTTGCTCGCTAACATTGTCTTCTTGGTTCCCCTCTATTCTTGGTAGGTTTTCAGTGTCTTCTAAGGTGAAGACAGTAGCAAAGTACATGTCTAATGACTCTGCCATGTCTTTGTCCCCTACTATAATTCCCCCTGTCTCTGCCTGTACATTTACCCTTGACAGCCTCTTCCTCTTTATATATTTATAAAAACTCTTGCAGTCTCTCTTTATGTTCTTCGCTCGTTTGCCCTCATATTCTATTTTCTCCCTCTTAATCACTTTTTTGGTTCTCCTTTGTTGATCACTAAAATTCTCCCAATCCTCGGATTTACTACTCATCTTAGCTGTTTTATAGGCTTCTTCCTTTAACTTTATACTTTCCCTAACTGCTCTAGTTAGCCACGGTCAGGCCACCATTCCAATGGCTAACTAGACCGGACCTTGAGCAAGCTCTGCAAAAGGTATTGTTAAATCACTTGGGAGAATAAATTAAACACAAAATACTGCAGATGCTGGAAATCTGAAATAAAAACCGAGAGAGCTAAGACAATTTAGCAGGTCAGGCAGCATCTATGGAGAAAGGAAAGTGAGTCAACGTTTCAGGTCCACGACCCTTCGTCAGAACTGGGGCACGTTAGGAGGGAGAGGTTTTTAAGGACAAGTTGAGAGGGACGGCAGGACAAAGACGACAAAAAAAACAAAGGAGAGAATGTGTTAGCTGATGGGTTAAAGAGGTGATAGTGGCTAAAACAAAAGGGGTGGGTGGGTCGAAATAAAACTGGGGAAAAGAGGTGTTGATAGTGCAGGAACAGGCAACACACCAGAGAGGCAAAGAGTGTCTGGGGTGATGATTGTAATGATAACAGAAGATAACTTCCGGTAACAGAAAGAGGGGGTGGGGAGAGTGAGCTGTTATGGTCTGAAGTGGCTGAAATCGATATTGAGGCCAGAGGGCTGTAGGGTCCCGAGCAGATACATAAGATGCCGTTCCTCAAGCTTTCGCTGTGGATCATTGGAACAGCGCAGGAGACCATGGATGGAGAGGTCAGACTGTGAAT